ATAATACATCCCAAAAGGTTGGACCATTAAATATTAAAAGCTTTTTTATACTTAATGGTTCATTCTTTTGGAAAGTGTTGTCTAAAACCCTGGAGTTTTCTGTTAAATGTCCTCGAAGAAGGCTTTTCATTATATAGGCTGAAACATATTGTATTTCTTAATGGGATAAACAGTTGACCATCTATTACCACATGGCGCTTGTCTCCTTTTTGTTTTGTGAGAATTCTAAATACCCTCCCCTGCATTGTACCTCACCGGGGAGAGTGCGGATGAGCTCCCTCTGTCAGTGCCAGCTCCCCATATGGGGACATGAGGGAAGCCTCCTACAAAGATGGTAAAACATCAAAACATTCGGGTATCCCTGGGCAACGTCCTTGCAGACAGCCAATTCTCTCACACCAGAAGCAACTTGCAGTTTTCCAAGTCACTCCTGACACACACACACACAAAACTACTGTGTTCCCTTTATTTTTATTTTTATTATTTTATGTTACTCCCAGCATGCTGGCACAGAAGCAAAAGGGAACAATCTTACCAAGGTAGGTGATGGGAGTGTTGTGGAACTGGGAGCTCTTGATGGGTTTTATTCATCAATAGCTAGGGAAGGGAGAATCACAGGAGTAGATGAGGCAGAATGACAATAAGATGCACACAGCATCATGCTATAGGGGCCAAAGGTAATGGTTCGAAGGCCTGCCTTGTGTGATAAAGTATTCTGGCTCTCAGAATCCCCCATCAAACATGGTCAGCAATTCTAGAATCAGAGATAAAAAAGTAAGCTGGACAATAAATACAAGCTCATTATATAAAGGGAGAAACTGTTCCTGTGTCACTTGTTTTGTATGATGTGACCTCATTAAATCAAGAGGTCTTAAGACTGAGTAAAGGAAGGGACATGGTAGTAAAACAGAAAGTGATATTGGTGTCTCAGACTTAGAGCTAGGAAAATAGGCAATGACAGTCCTGACAGGAAAAGGAAAATCTGCCAAGATTGCATTTCCTTACATGCAAATTAACAACAACAATGACAACATTACTCATGTATTTTCAGACCTGATTATTAAGATATTTTTACCATTTTTCTGTAGTTAAAAATGTATCCAAGCAAAATGCTCACCCACCTTGACTGGACAAATTAAATAGGTACATCCATTCCCAGTAGATAAAGCAAGCAATATATGCCCACATGGTTTACTGCTGTTAAAGTTCAGATCCCTGTTGGGAAAAGGCAATCAATCCTAAATCCAATGCTATCATAGTTGCACACAGGGATTCAATGCAAATTTTATGAGGCTAAGAGTCAGCCTTGGAGTTTCATGTAACAATTCTAGAACAATATTTTAAAAGAAAAATCAGGAGATTAAAAAAAGATCTGAATTGAAATACATCCACAAATTTCAATCCAGTAGTGGATTAGTAGTGGTTTGAACAGAAACAATGGCACATTTTGTATATTGAAATATATTAAAACACAAAAGGAGTTTCCTCTTGCCTGCTTTAGGACATTATTATACTGATTATGTATCCATACCTATGGCTCCCTGGTGGCGCAGCAGGTTAAATCGCTGAGCTGTTAAACTTGCTGACCAAAAGGTGGGCTGTTTGAATCTGGGGAGCAGGGTGAGCTCCCACTGTTAGCTCCAGCTTCTTCCAACCTAGCAGTTTGAAAACATGCAAATGCGAGTAGATCAATAAGTACCGCTGGCTCTTCAGCTTAGAAATGGAGATGGGCACCACCTCCAGAGTCGGACTCGACTAGATTTAATGTCAGGGGAAACCTTTACCTTTACCTCTATCTATCCATACCTATACCATATGAAGACTTGCCCTTTTGTACTTGCTTACAAAAGGTTGGATAATCGAGACTCTACTGTAAAACAATGCTTCCCTGTTAACCACATTATCCAAAGTCCAAGTCATAAAAATGTTTCAAAGATCTTTAGCCTTTTTTGTGTGTGTGCCAAAGAGTGCCCCAGCAATCTCCAAATCCCAGGATTCCACAGCTTTTAGCCATGACAATTAAAGAGATGTCAAACTGCATTAATTCAACAAAGTAAATGCACCCCATGAAAGCTTGTGCTATAGAAACATTGTATTGTCGAAGGCTTTTATGGCCGGAATCACTGGGCTGTTGTAGGTTTTTTCGGGCTATATGGCCATGTTCTAGAGGCATTCTCTCCTGACGTTTCGCCTACATCTATGGCAAGCATCCTCAGACCTCACAACCTCTGAGGATGCTTGCCATAGATGCAGGTGAAACATCAGGAGAGAATGCCTCTAGAACATGGCCATATAGCCCAAAGAAACCTACAACTTATAGAAACATTCTTTAGTTTTAAAGATGCCAGTGGATTTAAATAGAGAATTGTAAGACTTCAGTATTTTCAAGGCTTAAGATTTAATGACTTGGTGAATGAATGAGTTAGTTTTAGATTTCCCCACATCAGAACTTTAAAAACTTTGAATCTCAACTATAGTAGGAAGAATCTTGTAACTAATTGAAGCAATTTTTAATTCATTCCTGATTCCCGTGAATATCTTTTTTATTTTTATGGGCACATCATATGAAACTAAATGTGTCAACTATACTTAAAATACTCTGTCTCATTGGATGACTGAGAAACTGGAGACGAGGTATTCCCCAAGAAAATGATCAACAAAACCAAAACAATAGTAAAGCTGTCCAAACAAATTCTTTTAAAATGTTCAACTTATGTACACTGCTTTTCCATAGCAAATGGAAGAATGGGATAAGCATAAAATGTGGCTGGAGGACCTTCCACCCAAGTCCTATATCCCAGGATCTGATCCCAGGTTTTCTGCTTCATATATCCTGGGATCAGATTCTGTGATATAGGGCATGTCTGGAAGGACCCTAGGATATCACTGAGAAGAAACAGGCTTTGGAAAAATGGCATTCTACATGCTCTGAAAATAGTACGTGGGCTGCACATGCTTTTCATGCAAAATATTCTATGTCCCATGTTGATCATCCCTTCCCCAATAGCCAAAATGATTTACATAGGTGACACCTTTGCTTTCCAATGGTTTATAATGTCAGGCGTGGACAAATTTCGGCCACCCAAGTGTTTTGGACTTCAACTGCCACAATTCCTAACAGCTGGTAATCTGGCTGGGGTTTCTGGGAGCTGAAGTCCAAAACATCTGGACAGTAGGGCTGGGCGGTTTCGTTTCGTTAATTCGTAATTCGTTAATAATTCGTTAATTTTTTCAATTACAAAACGATAACGAACCATTCTGGAGCAATTTTTTAAAAAAACGAATTTTTAAACACGTTTTGTAAATGCTTCGTATTTCGTTATTGTATTCGTTTCGTTATTGTTCTGAGGTCGTTTCGTTATTATTTCCGCATGTCTGGGGCAAGTTTTTTGTTTAATTAGTGAAAAAAAATTATAATATCACACCAACAGTCAACAACAGAGGGAGAGGGAAGCTTCAGAAGTTTTTGGAGGCTTTTTAGCGTATTTCGCGGTCGCGTCCGCCATTAACGAATCGATTCGTTATTGTTTCGGAAATCGATTCGTTAATGTTTTGTAATTTTTTCACATTTACGAAATTTCGTAAATATCGAACTTTTTAAAAGGAAAATTTTGTAATTATTTTAAATATCGAAACAAAAAAACCCCCCAAATACAAATCGATTTTAGAAACAAATTTTTCCGTTGTTACCCAGGCCTACTGGACAGCTGAAGTTTGCCTCTCCTCGTGCATACAAATTTTGTTTCATTTACAAAACTATTTTAAAGTAATGAATAAAATTGTCTTCAGGGCATGTGTCTAAAATGTAGGTGAATCATGAACGTATATGCAAATAGAGGTCTTCCAACATGCAAAACAAGCTGAAGTATGGAATTTTTCTGGTCCCAATCATTTTGGATAAGGGATACTTAACCTGTAACAGTATAGATAGACCAATGTTCCAAATTAGCAGGGGCTTATAGTGTTCTCTATATAGTATGGGGGGGGGGAGTATAGCATGTAGCTCCAGCCTCTCCATGCTGTCAGTGACCATACATTCAAACAGGACACTGGGCCTGGGGACCAAGCACAGATGTGCTTTTTGACTTCTCTGTCCTTATGCTGTCTGGAACCCTATGCAGAAATTATGCATGCACATTAAGCACAAGTCTATATTTAGACAAAAGTTCTGTCCAATAGCAAATTTGGTTTCTTTCCTAGTCATTTCTGGTAATAGCCATTCAGCTTATAGAGATGTCATCTTTCTTAGAACTTCTCTGTTTCCTTGGGAACATTTCCCATATGCTGGTGCACACAAAACGGACACATTTGGGACGAAACTGCAGGCATCTGAAAAGGATTGCACAAATCCACAGGATATTACATGAGCATTTCTATTCCTCACTATACATGGCTAATGTCTAATATCATGTCTCACTTAATTCTATGGCTATTGTCCCTATGGCTGTCTTACAGTATTTCTTCAGAAGGAGTTTGATGTCAAGGCCCTGGAAGAAACAATGTTCTTCTAGACTTCTCTGGCTGTTCCCTTCTGTTGGATAATAAAGTTGTTTATATCACACAGTCTCTTCTGGAGCTCATAAATTGGCCTGCTGTCTCACAAAGGGTGTAAGAAAGTATTCTATTAAAAGTGTTGAAATAATTCAATCTAGCTAACTTTGGCTTGTAGAAACAGGAAAGGGCACTGCCTTGTCCTTTGTCCAAATATTGTGAATCTGAATGTGCACAATTTTGAATTGTATGGCATCAGGGAAAATGTTAATTTTATTGTTTTGACCTTCTAGACCTATCACATTAATGACATTTTAACTTTTCCTCATACAGTTGCTGGTAAATAAAGTAGTCAAACAAAACCCCAGTAAGATCACAAAGTGGGTCACTGCCTTCTAAAGAATGACCTTTGGAATTTGTAGTGCTGCTGGTAGCCTTTTCTGTCCCATACATGTTGCATAATGTGCCTGTACTCGCTTTCAAACAGATCCCACACGTGCACACACCCCTCTACACCTCTTTGCTACAAACTCCGGGAAACAAAGGAAGCAGCGTGGGCGGTAGAGGGGCTTGTGGTCCGATATGTGTGAACTATAGCCGAACGAAACATTTATAGTTAAAACATGCAGTGGAAAGTAGCTGAAGTGTGGTATGTAGCGTGGGCCCATTGGCTTGGTGTTTGCGTCAGTGACCATTTCCGTTTTTGTTTTTATCTTTTCATCTGGCCATTGCAGTTCCTCACCACATCGTCCCCTCTCATTGTTTTTAAAACTCAAAATTAAGTGAAGTTTAAAAAAAAAAAAACCTCGGGGGGGGGGGTGGTGGAGGGGAGGTGAAGAATACTGTGTCTTATGTCTGTGTTTGAATCTTTTCCAATATGGGTTTAGCATCTTTTATTGAAATGTTTGGGGCCAAAAGTGTTTTAGATTTCAGATTGTATTATGGACTAGCTGTCCCCTGGCACGCGTTGCTGTGGCCCAGTCTGGTGATCTAGAAAATAAAGTAATGAGAAATTGTTGGTTTCTAATATATGTAATTCCTTTATGCTTGTGAGTAAACAGCATTTCTTGTTGTTTCTTTGTCAGTGTTGATGTGGAGAGTGTCTGGTTTGCCTACTCTGGAATATGCAACATATCATAGTCCTTCTTTAAGGGTCTCTTTCAAATCTATGATACTATATCTGTGTGTGTGTTTGTGTGAGAATCATATCTATCTATATTTATGACTGGATGGCTCTTTGTCAGGAGGGCTCTGATTACATTTTCTTGCCCTGGTGAAGAGAGTTGGACTGGATGGCTTTAAGTATTTTCTGTTGGTCATGGGGGTTCTGTGTGGGAAGTTTGCCCCATTTCTGTCGTTTGTGGGTTTCGGAATGCTCTTTAATTGTAGTGAACTATAAATCCCAGTAACTACAAATCCCAAATGTCAAGGACTATTTCCCTTAAGCTGCATCTGTGTTCATATTTGGGCATATGGAATATTCGTGCCAAGTTTGGTCCAGATCCATCATTGTTTGAGTCCACAGTGCTCTCTGGATGTAGGTGAACTACAACTCCCAAACCCAAGGTCAATGTCCACCAAACCCTTCCAGTGTGTTCTGTTGGTCATGGAAGTCCTGTATGCCATGTTTGGTTCAATTCCATCATTGGTGGAGTTCAGAATGCTCTTTGATTGTAGGTAAACTATAAATCCCAGCAACGACAATTCCCAAATGGCAAAATTATTTTTTTAGTGTAGGACATACATTGGATTGTTAGGTGTCTTGTGTCCAAATTTGGTGTCAATTCCGCCAGTGGTTTTTGAGTTCTGATGGTATCACAAACGAACATTACATTTTTATTTATATAGATTTTGGAATATTTGGATATATATGTTTGTGTGTGTGCGTGTGTGTGTGTGTGTGTGTGTGTGAGAGAGAGTATCTCCTTCTACATCCCACCTCGGAGTTTAAGATCTTCTGGGGAGGCCCTGTTCTTGGCCCCGCCTCTGTCGCAAACGCGCTTGGCAGGGATGAGGGACAGAGCCTTCTCGGTGGTGGTCCCTCACCTGTGGAATTCACTCCCTGGTGAAATTAGATTATCGACGTCCCTCCTTTCCTTTTGAAAGAAGTTAAAAATGTGGATGTGGGACAAGGCCTTTGGATAATCTTGCTGACAATGACAGTGACAATGATGACAATTGCTATGGAAATGGACTATGGACATGCCTGATGGAGTCTCTAATTACAAAATTTGGTTCAGATAAGGCCACCAGGCTGTAATTGAAACAGAAACAGACTTTAATTAATTAATGTGATTTAATGTTTTTAACGTATGCAATTATTGGATTTTATTATGTATTTTATTATGTGTACATTGTAGGCATTGAATTGTTGCCGGCTGGAAGCTGCCCTGATTCCCCCCTCCCTTCTGGGGGGTTGAGAAGGGCGAGGTACAAATATCTGAATATATATATATATATATATATATATATGTATATATATATACTGTATATACTATGTGTGTGTGTGTACACACACACACACATATAATGAGACATCTTGGAGATCAGGCCCTAGTCCAAACACGAAATATCTTTGTGTTTCACAGATACCTTATGTGCATAACTTGAAAGTAATTTTATACACAATATTTTAAAAACAATATTGTTCATGAAAAAAGTTTGTGTGCAGTGAACCATCCAAAGATAGAGGTGCCACTGAGTACCTCTATACTGTAGTTTGACACTGCTTTAACTGCCATGGCTCGGTGCTATGGAATTATGGGATTTGGAGATTTATAAAGTCTCTGCCAAAGAGTCCTAGTGCCTCACCTAGTACAACTCCCATCTTTCCATAGCAGGTAAAATGATATCGGTGTAGATGCGCCCACTATCTCAGCCACCCATGTGGAGAATTTTGAATTTTGGAATTCCAAGGCAGCTCCCAGAAAGGAGAAATTTTAAAAAAAACATTCACTATAAAATTTGTAAACAATTGTACAGTACACAGTCATTTTAAACCGATTCATTTTTTAAAAAATAAACAAACATTCAAATAATAATATTCCTTGCTTACGCGGTAACATCATTTTTCAACAGAAAAAAATAATTCTGCTCCCAAATGGAAATTTCCTTCCCCCAAATTTTAGTATTGCAGGAAATGAAATACTGAAAAATTGTTCAGATCTTGAATGCTTGTATCTCCTATGTGGATGTTCCTTTGTTCACTTTATCTGGCTAAACCATATTTCTGAATATTCAACTGAAGTTTTTAATTACTGCAGTGCCAGGAACTTAGGGGCAGAAGGAAAATTTCATTGTGGAAGAGGGGAAATTCCTATTCTGCTACTGATAGTGGGCAGATCGGCTTATGATTGGCTTATTTTATGCATATATCTTAATGGATGAAAAGTAAAAATTGCCTGTTGACTGATGCTAAGGCTTGGGAGAGGGACTGCTGGAGATCTAAGGACTCAAAGCAAACAACATAAACTGTAACCTAGTCATTTAGCAATCCTGAATTGGCCAACTCACACAATGGATTCAGAAATCCAATATGTCATATGATACACCTTCCCCCCACCCCCAATCTTCTGATGTTGTGTGGTTTCAAAGGACAAAATGCTGTTTGTGTCTGTTAAAAAGGTCACTGTATTAACAAGAGCATGATTCATATTTGGGTTTTTGCATTTTAAAATACCCTCTGCTGTTCTTAGCCTTGACCCTGTACCTTTTAGTTCCATTGTATAGTCCCTGCTCTTTATTTGAAATTCCTTCTTCCCACCACTCTCCATGCCTGCTTGACTCTTGCTCATCTCTCTCCCATCACATTCCCTCTCTATATTTATGCAGCTGGGTTTTTGAAGTTCTGTTTCTGTGATTTCCCCTTCTTTCTCCCTCCCTCTCACTGGCTTTGGAATTTCTGACCCTCCCTTCCACCCTCCTCTTTGCATTTGCCTTCTATCTCCCCTTTTCTTCCTTTGTAACACGTGGCAGTGTGTGTGTGTGTGTGTGTATTCCTGCAGCTCTCCCTATTGGGTACCCTCCAGATGTGGGCATTTTTCCTCCTCCTCTCACCAGCATTATTGTCCTGGTTAGAAATGATGGGAGGTTGGACAGGTCCAGAGAGTACCAAATTGAGGAAGTGTTGCATTTCTGCTGGAAACGGGCTCACAGCTTTCCGCCAGCTGGGCTCCTCCAGCAAGCGTGCGTGGCATCCCTGTTCCCATTCTTCCTTCCAGCTGCAACCACAATGGACTTGTCTGGCAAGCTTTCCTTTTTGCCACTTTTAAACTTCTGTGTGGAAACCTCAAATCACTATAAAACAACAACAAAAGGAATCCAGTTGAAAGGGCCGCTCCTGGAACTGAACACTTTCAAGTTTTAAATGGCACTGTTGTTGCTCTTTACAGAAGGGTTACTCTGGGTCAGGCAGCCTCTTCTGATGGCTATTTGCAGCCAACATCAGCTGCAGGATTTTGGGAATGAGTCCCAAGAAAAGAAACATTTTTTAAAAAATCCTTTAATCATAGCAATTAATTCAAAGCAGGATTTTAATGATATTCTAAATGTTGCAAGTGAGTTTTGTAATTTATGGTTGATTTAGAATGTTATAAGGGGTCAGTTTTGACAGGTAGGCATTGATTGAAATAAGTTCCCGAGTCAAGTCCTGAAGAAGGCATGAAAATTGTACATAATGCTGTCAATCCTTATTGATAAACCAAATGTTTTGTCTCCATAGGCCAGGGATTTAATCCCTTGTCTGTTTCACTTTTGAAGGAAACTATGGAGAAGTTAAGCAATTTTCTTCCTGTTCTAAGAGAATATGCAGTTTTTGAGTATTCACAGTTAGGACTTATGCAATATAATTATCACACATTGTATTTTTATACAGAAAACTGTAAAAAAATGTACTGTGGAGGAAACAATATTTCTGTACAGAGATACTGCTTTATGTGCAGAAAATCCTGTTTCCCATTCAGAAAATGCTGTAATTGGTGACCTTGCAAAATGTTTTTCATACAGAAAATTGTGTAAACTTTGCACAGAATAAGTCCAAAACTTATTTTCAGTCAAGGCTTCTCCTCATCAGGATTTCCTGATACTTGATAAATGTTTTGGACTGGTTTTTTTTTTGCTATTTTTATTTCCTTTACTCTTACCAGAGCCACAGTACCAAGGAAACGCCAAAAATGCTGGTAGTTGTATGGATCCATGTGAACATAACAGTTCTTAGAGTTCTCATCTCCACTAGACACATGTTTTCTGTAGAACCAAGTCAAAAGCAAAGTACTTCAAAATATATTGCAATTTGACAGGCCACTAGAGTCGTGGAGTTAGAAAAGACCACAAGTGTCATCCAGTTCAATTCTCTTGAATGTTTGCTATTCAATCCACTCAAAATGATATATATATTCCCTTTTCTTTGTTATATCCAGCTACTGTGAGGATTGAGAGGAAACAAGAGAGCATGAAGAATAAACATGGCAGGCAGTGTCCCTGCTAAAGAAAAAATCCTGGAGTATGGAATAGCTGTACTGTTGCTCTAATGTATGCTCTAATGTATGAGATTGGGTGACATTCAATCTATAAAGGTGAAACACAAAGAACACAGAGATGTGAAAATCATTAGTCATCCAGCCATTTTTAAAGTTAAATTGCAGTTTGGTA